CTTTATATTGCACACAGTCAAGGAGAAACAAGGGTAATAATTCCATAGGCAAGTATAGAGGACTGAAGCTTTTCAGCCTTGATTATATGCCATGGGCATACTGCCCACTCCTTTGGTCAAATGAACAGCTTGCCTAACAGAACTGTCAGACTTCATACTCTTTCCTATTTTGTCTCCTGCTGCTTCCATCTGACACAAAATTGCCTGTACCAAGCATATCTGAGCTCACTGTATTTTCCCTGCTGAAGTACAGCTATTGAAAATAGAAAACATTAGTCCTAAATTACTTGATAATGTTTTTTTTTTTTTAATTAATATACAAAAATATTACTTCTTCAATTGAAAGAGCAAAAATATAGTTGAACATTGGGGGATTTAAGTGAGCAAAACCGCGTAGAAACAGAATGCATCCATTTATTTTGAATAGCTTAGTGGCCATATCGACTACATGCCCCTTCTTGTATTCCTTCAGGAAAACAAAGAGTAGAATTGCTTCCTGTTTCCACTGTGCACAAAGTCGTAGTGGCAAAGGGGAAAACAAGGTGAATTGCTGGAGGAATGTTGCAGTACATAGTCAAATAATATCTTCTGATTCTGATAGCAACTTTTCTGCTATTTTGATGCGCTGTAAATAATGGTATTCATTCAAGCGTTGACTAAACTGCATTAGCTACTGGGATTACTGCCTCAACATGTCATGCTCTTCACAGATGTCTTCCACATATTTTTGTATTACTTTACTACTTTTGCACTGCCAACTATGACAGTTCAGGAACAAAGTCAAGAGTTGCTATGCCATTCCAACCATGGCAGCAAAAAAAAAGAATAATAAGACTTCCTGGCAGTAGGACAGACAAGCAGGCATAGTAACATCCAGAGATGTCCAAAGAGTGTGCAATATCCAAAGTAGATTTTAGTCCAGGAAAAATCCATCCTGCAAGATGATAATGCCAGAGACTTTGGGGTTTGTCTATCTCACAATTTTCAATGATAGTAATCCAAAGAAATGCAGCAGGAGTTTGTATTCTGCTCAGATCACCACAAGAAATGGCAGGAATATAGGAGCTAGTTTCTTTAACCGAAATAACTTTCCTATGAGCCAACTTGGATGTGCACAATAATCATGCTGCAGAACAAGCAGGGTTGGAAAAGCTTACTTGCTAGCAGGTAAGTCACTGCATTTTACATTTTGCGTAACTAGGTTAGGCATGGTTTTCTTATGGACCTTTGCAGCTACACTGTTCCATAAATACTTCATTTTTATCTTAAGAACTTGACACTAGAGATGATACTTGAGAGGAATCTCATCTCCAGTTGAGTAACTTAAGTACCAATGTCATTCTATAGGAACGGACACGCTCATAACATTCTGGCACATACAGTTTAAAACACCTGCTGAGTTTCTTGGATTGATACAGAGAACAGCGTGTAGAAGAACAATTTTTCCATGATCATTAGCAGCCAGGAATATTTTCCCATGTAGAGTATTTTCATGTAGAGTAAGATCATGTGGTGATCTTAGCAGAATACAAATTCCAGCTGCATTTCTTTGGATTACTATCATATAGAGTAAGATAACAGGAGGGAGTCCAAACCTCATAGATCTCAAAAGCGCTTTTGACAGTGACATCCTAGTGTTACATTCTGCCCTGGTATGTGAAGCTGCATCACATAAAATGACAAAGTACAGCAGTTACCTTCACACTGATAACTCTGGGCTACACAGGCAGCTGCTGGCCTTTCCAGTCACAAACAATTCCTGAGGGGGTGCACCTTCAGTTTGCTGGGTAACAGTCAAAACCCTGGAGAGAAAGCTGCCATTCAAGAGGCCTTAGACAAGCATGAAAACAGTGCCTTGTGTAGTTCAAGAAAAACAAATGCAGAATTCTGCAGCTGGGTCAGAATAACCTCATCTAATACCAGAAGGCTGGGTCTGACTGGCCACGGAGCTCAGCTGGAAGAGGCATGGGAGTCCTTGTAGACAAGATGAGCAGTGCCTCCGTGTGGTAATGAAGGTTGAGTGTACAAAAGGCTCCATTGGTAAGTGGTGCAATCATCAGGTCCAAACAAGTGATTAGTATCCCTAGTCATTATTTGGAGGCAGCATCTAGAGCATTTTGTATAATGTGGGGCCTACCAGCTTAAGACAGGATAATAAAGCAATGTAAATCCATGGATGGCTGCTGAGTTGCTTAAGGGCATGGAGTACATGGTGCATCAGGCAAGTCAGGTAACAGAGTTTGTTCAAACTACTAGGGAAAAAGAAAACTAAAGTAAGACTAATTGCTGTCTGCAATTACCTAGTTGGAAATCTAGAGATTTTGCTCAAAAAGTGCACAAGATAATAGGTGGTCACAGGTTGTGGCAAGGAAAATTCCACACCACAGCTAGACCAGGTTGCCCAGGGCCTGATTCAGTCTCACCTTGAAAGTCTCCACGGCAATTCTAAGTTTGCTAGCCATGACTTACATCCTGATAGCTTACATCACCTGATAATCATCCCTTGACATAAGTAAACCATCTTCTTTGCTACAGAAATAGTTTTAATAACCTGGAAAGTTCTTCTGCATCTTGATATTTGCTTAAGGTGAGCACCTGTGTCACCCTACTGACATAGGTAAAGGGAAACAAGGCCTGGGATAGTTAATCAGATAAGGGACTTATTGAGCAAAACTTACAGTAGGAACCAGAGCACTCCTTCCAGGAATTTTCAGTTATGAAATGGCCCTTAGGAGCCGTTACAGTCTGGTGTCACTTCAGAGCAACTACAGTTACTGCAGACCAGCTTAGCCTCAAGCTGTTTTAGATTATGTCCATGAGCAACCGCACACTTAGACCTACGTCATTCTGCTTTTGATTGAGAAAACCAGGTGGAACTGAAGCACAAAAAACACAGAACGTCAAGTGCAGGGTCACTTATGCACAACACCATCAAATAAACGACAAAGATGAGATAAAGTCAAAGGATGTTTAGAATATTGAGGCCAACACCATAAAAAAAATCCTACTGAAATAAAATATACAGTCCTAAATTTTAAAAAAAAAAAAAAGCTCAATTAAGACTCTGGAAAAAAAATAAATTGTTTTGTGGACATTGCCAGTATGCAATGCTGCTTAACTGTAGTAAGAAGACTTAACATAAATCACTATTTACAAAAAATACAAAAGAAAAATCATGATTTCTGAGACAATTCTTATGACATGTACAGTCAAACCCAGTAACTGGAGTACAGAAAACAACTGATTTGTTGAATTTTACCTAAAAAGCCACAAAGACTTGGTGCGCTGGGTCTGGCCAGGATGGAGTTAACTTTCTTCATAGGAGCCCATCTGCTGCCATCCTTCCACCCAGCACATCCCAACACTGAGCAAGAAGTTGGGAGGGAGCACAGCTGCAAACCTGACCTGAACTGGCCAAGGAGATATTTCATACCATGTAACCCCATTCTCCACAAAAAAAACTGGGTTGGAGGAAGAAAAGGAGGAGGTGGTTCTGATTTCCATTGTGGCCACTGCTTGGAGACTGACTGGACATTGCTCTACTATTAGACATTCTGAAACAACTGCAAAACTTAGTTCTGTACTTTTGTTTCAAATACAGCCATGAACTGAAGAAAAGAAAAGAAAAAAAAAAGATTAATCCAAATGTTGTATTCCTTTTCATTTGTTTATTCTGTCCCACACTAGTTAAAACCATATGGCCAGTCAGTTTTCAAAAGGCATTATCTGTCTATTGGCAAAATTAAACTAATAAAAAATGCTTGTAGTTATCTACAATTTGAATATTTTGTTCTGTACAATACATTTAACCCAAGGAAAAAAAAAAAAAACAGATACTGCAGCAGCTATAAGAGGTACTTGCATACCTTATACCAGTAATACATTAAATTTGAATGTGGTGTACATATCTCCCAATCTGTAATAAATTTTGTAACATGAAGATTAAAATCCAATTAGATAGACTAAATTGTGTCCTAAAAAGTAAACTACTTAGAGGAGATTTTTCATTCACAGAAGTATATAGCAGTATCCATGTGAGCTATGTCACCAATGAAAAACATTTCTTAACTCAGAAATCATTTTAAACTGAAGTAAATGAGAATAAACTACACAGGTCTAAAACGTGCTTTTTACATTAGTGGACAACTTCATTACAAATGGCTGGGACACAAACACACAAAAGCAGATTGGATGCAAAGCACATTTTCCCATTTGCTGTAAAAAGATTCACAGAGAATCTGTAGATTAGCACTCGAAACAAAGAGTTCCTTAAACTAAGCAACATCAGTTCTTGGTCAGAAATCCACTGCTATTTAGAGCAAGACAATTACTAACAAAAATAAATAAATGAAGGAAAAGAAACATAGCTATTACTTCTGGATTTTTTGTTTGTTTGTTTGTTTTTCCACTTGCCTTAGATAGTTACACTACATGGAGAAAAGAAGCTTAGCCAACATAGCAAAATTTAAGATAGAAGGCATTTGAATTGTTTAGTGAGGCTATAGTGCCCCCCAATGTCCACAAGCTATAGACAAGGTTGTTTACTGATTTGACAGAAAGGGAAAACCAAACAAAACTACGAAATGCTTACTAATAATCATTCCTGTACATCATGCCTGACTTAGAAGTAAGATTGGTAAGTGTGGTAAATTTCAGAAAGGGCCAAATATTTCATATTTTTTTTTTGTCCCAGCTAGAATTCTCTGTAAAATGATACTAGCATAGCTCACGTAGAGTCAGACAAGCTGTCAAAACCCATTTACCAACATTGCCTATGTTCACTGTTGCTTTAGTTTCATCACCTTTTGAGCTCACAGAATTTGAATCTCTCAGCATGTTCCAAACACTGTAGGCACTTTAATGTGACACTATGAAAATCAGATCTCTTGCATGACAATCCATATTTCATCCACTGAATCATGAATTCAACGCATGCTCAAAGGATTATTTATTTATTTTAAGGAAGACAGCCATCCATAACTATAAAGATTCAGATGAGTTTATTGTTTTGGAAAAGTCTACCAGGAGATCATCAACGAGAGTTAAATGCATTCATCTCGCTTGCATTTTGAATTTTGCTCTATCTTCATAACTACCTTCATAAAAATCACCTGTAAAAGTAAATACAAGAAACTGCATATAACAAATCGTATTTACACAAGCATCCAGATCATATGAAATAGTCTTGTTCTAAGATCTGTATTTCTAATATGATGATCTGATGAAGTTTTTCAAATAGAATCACAGAATCATAGAATTGCTCAGGTTGGAAAAGACCTTAAAGATCAAGTCCAACCACAACCTAACCATCCTACCCTAACTCTAACAACCCTCTGCTAAATCATGTCCCTGAGCACCACATCCAAATGGTTTTTAAACACATCCAGGGATGGTGACTCAACCACCTCCCTGGGCAGCCTATGCCAGTGCTTCACAACCCCTTCCATAAGGAATTGTTTCCTGATGTCCAACCTAAACTTAACCCTGGTGCAATTTGAGGTCATTTCCCCTCATCCTGTCACCCATCACCAGTGAGAGGAGACCAACTCCAATATTACTTCATTCATGCTTACTAGTCGTTCTGACAGCTAAGGATTCATTACTTTGTCTTTACCACAGATTCATAACTGAATCTTCTGTTCACTTAACATATAAAGAAGCTCCTTGATAGCCTCTTGATGTCCAGAATATACTCAATATTTCTTAGTCAAGCATATTCTATTAAAAATAAATAAATCATTTTCATAAGTCCTGGATGTACCACCTTCGAGATCTTTCTGATGGAGGAAGAAAGCAATCAGAGCTGTTAGAGTATTTATTCAGTGTGCTGATTTTTAACTTTCAATACATAATACTCAGTGGATTTTTTAAATAAGGACAATTTGAAGTTTTAAATTCAATGAATCACAGAATGGCCAGGGTTGGAAGGGACCTCAAGGATCATGAATCTCCAACCCCCCTGCCACATGCAGGGCCACCAACCTCCACATTTAATACTACACCAGGCTGCCCAGGGCCCCATCCAACCTGGCCTTGAACACCTCCAGGGACGGGGCATCCACAACCCCTCTGGGCAGCCTGTTCCAGCACCTCACCACTCTCATAGTAAAGGACTTTCCCCTGGCATCCAACCTAAATCTTCTCTCCCTCAGCTTAAAACCATTTCCCCTTGTCCTGCTGTTATCTACCCTATCAAAGGGTTGATTCTTGAAATATACTAACAGTTTTCTGTGATAGAATGCTTAAGATAGAATAAATTAGCCATTATGAATATGACTAAGTATATATTCTAAGTATAGCCATAGACATGCTACAAATGCTGGAAGAAAACCTTCCAGTAGTCCATTTCTTCATGACAAATGTTTGCTTCGTTACAATGACAGCAAAGAAATAGCCTATCTAATACTGTATTCTTAGGAAAAAAATATATTAAAATGTTGGGCTTGTCTAAGTGTAGACACACACAGTACTATGCCCACACACTTTGAAAGATTATTACACAGAAAGATTAACTACAGATGCAATAAAGACATGTTTTTTCCAAGCATGCTTACTGTAAACTGTAGTGTAGTTGTACCTTGTTATCTACCCTTCTGCACCACTTAGTCAGTACATGTTCAGTAAGCTCTTAAAAAAAAAAAAAAAAAAAAAACAGAAAAATTAACTACTTATACTAACTTAGTATTGTTAGTATAAAGAATACTGATATTTGTCTGTTTTCCCGTTTTTGTTGACATAAAAATCAAAATTTGGACTGTCTTTGAAGTGGTTGGGGTATTTTCTAATGAAAAAAACAAAGTTTGGATTAATGTCAGAAATTCATAGCAAGTACATGTCATACTAATATTGCAAGTGTTATTTTTAAAACCTTCTACCAAAGCCAAAAGCACAAGAAATCTGCATAATCCCTGCACAGCTCATTAGCACTGAGTCATACAAAGGATACATAATGATTTGGCAGCATATTGCCAGATGGTTTGCAATCAGATCAAGTAGTAATAGTTTGCTATCAGATCAAGTAAGTAACTTGGCTTCTTTTTCTTTATTAACATCCCTCCCAAATTGTCATTATATCCACTTTCTTTTCTATTTTTTGAAATAACATTCAGTTCCTGAGTGGTTGACAAAAACTTTGGTGTTTTCAATCCACACTGACTCTTGGCTTTGCAATCTTTTTTACATTTCCAAAAGCATTTATTAATTGCATTTAGACACAAGAGAGCTTATGCAATCAATTTCTGTATTTACATAAAAACTGTTCAACACTTCACTCCTTCCCATTAGTGATGTGCAGCTGGTCACTACATGAAATTTGTTTTGCACCATAATCTGATCATCTTCTCTCTCACTCAAAACACTTATTGTGTCCGAGCAACAGGAAAATAAAAGGTTATGAGGGCAATGCAAACAGACAATCACTCAAGTTAATGTATTTGAGATTCATGAATACTTAAGGCTTATTATTATTTGAATGCTTTTGAACCCAAGTGTATAGCTTCAAGCATTCACTTACCACACTGTAGTAAGTCTGAAGTACAAAGCAAATAGTTTCATTGTTCTTTTTCCTGAAGTTTCCAAGTTTTCCATTGTGACAATCCAGTTGAATAAGTGAAAATATCTACAAAAACATCTATATATTTAAATAAGACTGAAAAGTTTACAATAACCTTGGTACTATAACTTTTAATTTACCTTCTCCTTCATTGCATTCTTTAGGTTCACTGTTTTAAAATCCAAAGAGACATTAATGGTAGTTTCCCAGCAATCAAATGAAACATTTACAATCACTTCAGTTTTAAAGCATTCACATTGATCTCAGAAGAAAGGCCTGCTCCATTTTAACCCAAGTTTTACCGAGGGGAAAAAGAAAAGATCACAGAAAGCCGTGTATTCTGACTATAAAGCTGTTCTTGTGTTAAAACCTCACTCAGAGCGTCAGGAAGATAAAGCATCACCCCCTTGGTTACACTGGGATTTGGATCCATGCTATGCTGAGTGTTCAAGTACGCTGAAACGTGGGCAGAGCCATGGAGTCACATGAGTTTCCAGTGAAGTTTATTTACCTTACTCCAGAAGCTGCACATTTTGTTTGAATTGGATATTCCCCACACTAGGGATGCTCTGAGGAATGCAGCTCAGCTGTCAGCCTTGAGAAGGTAGTACCCATTGGTGGCTGTGCCTTAAGCTGATTACACTGTCACCTCGGTGACATATCTGCTTCATTCTTTCCTTCTCCAGCATAAGTATGTGGATCAAAGCATTAACAAAGATAATGCTACCAAACATCATCATGAATACTTCACATACAGAAGAGGCAAAAGGCCAAATGAAAACACTTAGCTATTTATAAGCATAATATGTTACTTATTGCTTCATATAGTTGAATTAATGTTTGGCATTTCCTAGTACAGAGTATATGATATAATAATATACATATATATTTCATGTTATAATGTAATATTGATATGAAAATGTATGTGCTTGCAAATCCCCATGGCATTTTACTTATTACTTTCATCTGTTCCACTCAAGTTGCAAAGTGTTTATGTACTTGAAAGTGAATATCAAACACCATTAACACAGTGACATGAAAATAAATGTTAAAAAGAGCTGCAGCACAGCATTGTACAGGAAGGGAAACTACTGGATCTATGTCATATTTCTGGAGAACCATGACCTTATAGGAATACCAGCCTGTCTCTGGCAGAAGTAATGATCTCAAGTGACCTTTACCCTTTTAAAACTCAGCTTTGTTCCCAAGAGGAAAAGAACCCTCATCTCATCAGGTTTGCATTAAAGGCCTTCTCTGAAGGACAGAGATTGAGATGGTGCAGAAGCTCAGACTGACCAGCAAGTCCATTGAGTACTATCATAGGAGCCAACTGCTTGCAGATACAGCTGTGGTAAAGCTGGGGCAGGCAGCCTCCAAATAGATTAGAATGAAATAGCATGGGCTGGAGGCAAGCTCAGCCCACAAATGGGAAGTGAAACAAACAAGAAATCCCTACAGAAATGATACAGATATACCTATTTACTTCTAGTGGAAAGTATAGATGTTGCCTGCCTGTGCTGGGATGGCCTTTCCTGTCTTCTGTTTTATTTAAGACATGAAGATTATGTACGGAACAGTACTGGGACAGTAAAGGCGTTGCTCTTTGTACACCTCAGTTTTTTGGGCCCTTGGAAACACAGCAGAAATCCTAGGAACTCAACAGATTCCTGTGTTGTGTTCTGCGGCACTTTGGCCATCCACAGAGTCATTAGCTAGTCTTCTTAGAGTAATGCTTTATAATGGAAATATTCCTTGTATATACAGTAACATCATTCTAACTACACCACAAGAAAGTTTACCAACATTAGGCCTCGTGTAACAGATGAAATCACCTTGTTCCCAAATCAGATTCTGTTTCTTAACACACATCAGTGCCTTTAGTTCTGGCAGATGCCACAATACAGAACATCCAACAAGGAATACGAAAATAATTCTTTAAAGGCCTGATCAACTACTATTTTAAAACATTGTCTGCGCTGCTGATGAAGACCAGATTGTTTTTTTCCAAGTTAGAGCGTGAACATGTTTAAAGAAACCCTTAACTGCCACAGCCACAAGAGCACCTACACAATTGAGGAGCAAAGGAAAATCCACAATACATACCACACTCACCAAGCCACTCACCTCACTTACCATAAGCCAAGCATCTACGTAGGTAAAACGAATGTTGATCAGCCTACCAAAATATTCTGTCTGTGCAAGGCATCCTTAAAAAGATGAAAACATTGGTCAGCAACTTCCATGGTCTGCTAGCGAGCTGCAAAAGCTAGCACACTGCAAAAGCACAAGGGTTGACATACAGAGTATCCATGTGTATGAGACCGAGGTCTCACTGAACAATAAGAATATGAACAGCAGGAGCTTTCTCTTCCAGCAGCATTATGATGCCAGTTTGCTTTGGAGGTACAACAGGGGACAACAGTAAAGCATGTTCCTCATCCAGCCCACAGCCATTTAGCAAGTGCTGATCTAACAAAGAGAAGGCATAGCACTGGTTATTCTCAGTTCCTTAACTCACAAGCATTGCAACAAAAGTAAGCCCCAAAGAAAATTAACTACAGCATTATCCTCCCCTACCCCGGGGCAGTTAAAGTGTCCTTACATAACCCATACTATCTCTAGGTAGGAAGGGGAGACAATCACATAAGAAAAAGAAAGAACTAAGGTTTTGGTCACCTCTTACATCCCCCCCTACTTTCCCAGCACCACTCACCCTTCTATAGCAGCACAGATACCAAGACTCTGTCAATACACACTTCTGCTCCAGGCCAAGAAAAACTTCATTCTTTTACTGGCATCCCAACACACTGAAGTCGAAGCTCGCTTACTGCACCACACAGCACTGTGCTAAGCCATCGGATAGATAGATGGTGCCAGCAGAGCAACTTGCAAATTCACTGTTGAGCTTAACATTTTTCTCCCTTTAGAGACCAGCTGCAAATCTGGGCAAACAGTCAAGATTTCCGTATTTCTCTTCAAGGATAAACAATTTACAGCAAGGATGAAAAAGCAAAAGGAATGTTTGGTATCTACTTTTTTCATCTATGGCGACGCTTAAACTAGTGGTTATGCTATATGTTTATCATTCACCACAGCAGGATTTTCAAAACAATCACTCAAAATACTAGCACACAGCTTCTTGCCAGATAGGGCTGTGGCTGATGTACAGATGAATTATTAATAACATGACTGGATTTTCACCCAGCCCTAAAGAAGTACAATCCAGGATTCAAGAACATACAAATTCAAGGAATTAGTACATCTGTGAGGAAGACAGAAGTGTTTTCAGCATTTCCATGCCATCCAATAAAAAGTAGGTTATTTAAGCAAATGAAATACTTTGAAGAAATCTACCTTCTTGCTGAAAATAGCAAGTGCAGCAGCATCAGGAACAGGCACTCGGGGTTTGGCCATCCTCTCAGCTTAGTCTGAAGTTAGAAATTACAGCCTCAGCTAACAGCCACAAAACAGCCCGAGGGGATTTTCAGCTCTCTACCTCCTCTGACAGAAGCATTATTTTTAGTGGACTAAAAAAAACTCCTTGCAAATAATACACTCAAGAAAGGCTGAGGCCTGACAGAAAACTGAGCGTTACTCCGTTAGGAAGCAAAACTTTAGCAGAGACAGGTTGCTACAGCACAGCAGAAAGGAAGCAGGGTCAAAACATCTTCTCTGGAGATGCTCAAGACCTGCCTGGATGCCCACCTGTGTGACCTGGTGTAGGGAAACTGCTTTGGCAGGGGAGCTGGACTTGATGATCTCTGGAGGTCCCTTCCAACCCCTACGATTCTGTGAAAATACTGCTTTCCACTCCGACAGAGGACTGAGAATCCTGAATGCACCCACTTCTCCCTTTGGCACAGGGAGGTAAGGGAGGCACGCTGACAGCACACATCTCACCTGCATACCCACTGTGTTTCTACGGGCAATGCTGGAGGCTGGGACCCACCCAGAACACACAGCCCAAGCTCGGCACACAGCAGACCTTCATCTGCAGCGGGACGTGGCACTAGACAGATAAAACCCTCTTTCAAAAGAGCAAGCGATGCAGCACACACACACCTAACCTGCTCTGCCACTTTTGACTATAGAGTTTTCTAACAGCAAGGAGGGGAAACACCTATCATTAGGCATCCCCAGCTGTACAAAAATAAGCTTCCCAGTGAGCTACAACAAGGACTTTGTTTCAGCCAACCTCTTTTCTTTCCCTCTCTCACAAATACAGGCTCAGGAAGGTACAGACACCTCCGAGACCCGAGCACAGGAACGCACCCAGTGATGCCCTTAAAACCCCAGCGGACCGCCGTTATGGGAACGAGGGGCAGCCCTCCCCCCGCCAGTCCGAGCCAGCCCAATGCTCGCGCCCCCCACAGCACAACAGCGCCTCAGCGCCCACGCGAGCAGCAACAAACGCTCTCCTCTCACGCACCCAACCGCCGCGCCCAACAGCCGCGAAACGCGCCCAGCCCGCGCTCCCTATCCCCCGCCTCTCACATCTGGCCACGCCCCTTCCGTGTGGCCACGCCCCTTTCCCACCTCCTCCCCTCGTTCTCCTTTCTGAGTCGGTGGCGTCGGCAGTCGCTATGAGAACAGCTGACGTCACGGGGCCCCGGCGCCGCTGATTGGTCGGAATTGTTCGAGAACGCCGCCGAAGGCGGAAGCGGAAGCCGCACGTGGAGCCGGTGAGTGGTTGCCGCAGTTTCTGGAAACTTCGCCTCATTGTCATATTTAAAGCGGCGGCGCCGGCTGCCCGCCTCTGCGCGCCCATCTGCCGGCAGCGGGACCGGGGCGGTGGTGCCGGCAGTGGGTCGGGTGGGGGGGGCCTGTTCGCGGCGGTGGGGCGGCCATGGCCGTGGTGGGCTTTGATCTGGGCTTCCAGAGCTGCTACATTGCAGTGGCGCGGGCCGGCGGCATCGAGACGGTGGCCAACGAGTTCAGCGACCGCTGCACGCCGTGAGTGAGGGGACCGGGGCGGGAGCTCCAGGCGGGCCGCCGCCTTTCCGTGGTTCGGGGTGCGCGGCCGTTCAAATTACTTAGCTTGCTTTAATAAAGGTGGATCGGAAGCGGGGCGGTTTGGATGGAAAACGGGCGTCTGCCGCTCGGAGTTCGGGGCCGGGAGCGGCGGTGCCAGCGGGACGGCCACGCTGTGCGGAGGGTAACGGGGCTGGAGGGGGGGGATGGTGGAGCTCCGCCACTGCTGGAACGCGAGCAGTCTGCCGTCAACGCCGCGCTCAGCAGTCCCTTGTGCTTTGCAGGTCGGTGGTCTCGTTCGGCTCCAAAAACAGAGCTATCGGCGTCTCGGCCAAAAACCAGGTGGGTTCCTTATAGGTGGCTGTGACTGGGAGGCTGACGGCCCGGCGGCTCGGGTGCCGGGGGTGCGTGGAGAGCCGCTGGGCTGGAGTTGGAACGGGTAACTGTCGTTGGTACACCTGTCGGAGGATCCCTACGGGTCCTTTTGAACTCGGGGTGTTGTACGGTAGAAAAATGATGTGCTGTAGTGCTGCGTTGCTTTCGGAGGAACGCAGGTGGTTCTGCTGGAACTTCCCTGCTTGCTGTTTCTTTAATGGTAATATTTTCCAGTAGAACACGCTCCTTTCCTGATGGCCTAAGCATCGGGTTTGTGTTCTTGGTGCTTTTCTATAGCTTTCTCCTGCGTCTGAGGGAAAATGTTTGAATGCTGTGTAGAGGTGCTTAAAATTAGATAGGAAAGAGAAATGTTAGTTGAGGTTTCCTAAAGCAGTGTAGCTACCTCACTGCTTTTGCTGGAAGATAAATGCCTGTGTATTTTTCAAAAGCTTAACATTTATAGTATAAGTAATTTGGTTTTATTGCTTGAGCAGTTTGATAGGTACATAAAGAAACACTGAGTGTTTTCTTCACTGAAGTAGTATTTTCATGCGCAAGAATTAAGCTCTCCTCTTAGCGTTTCAGAATAGCTAAATATAGATGTTAAACAAATCCTCAGGTATTGTCAAGCCTTGTATCTGTTGCATAACCACAGCTGGTAAGGGATTGAGGAGCCTGCAGCTCTGCTGGGCTGTGCAGATCTGTGGTGAAAGGACTGCAGTGTGTTTCCATGGAGAGAGCATTGGAAGAGACTTCCTTCTCTGTAACAGTTCTCTTAGTTTTGGAAGCTGAGGGAATATGAATAGCTTACACATTCACAAACACATGTACTCCTTCGGTTCAAGGTTAATATTTGAAGTAGTACAGTCATTACATGCATTTATGTTCCCTCTTTAGAGAAACTTCATTTTAGCATCTCTTTTGTTTTCTTACTATGTGCTTTTACTCAGAAACTAACAACATTCACTTGTGTGCAAAAATGAGTCATTTATCAAAATAGAAGTAATCTGAATCCTATGTGGAAGCTCTTGAGAGTATCTTAGTATTGTTTGCTGATGAAATGCTAGAACTTGAAGCACGCTGAAAGGGAAAAAGATTGTGACGTATGAAATTGTGTTTAAAGGACTGTGTTTGGGATGAATGCCAGCGAGTTCAGATGACTTGAGGCAACTATTAGGTTATGTGGATATATTACATCTTCTGTGCTTGGTTGTCTACCAGTTGAAACTGAATGGTTTTTGCAAGAAAAGAAAAGCAAAGCATGTGGTACATTAAATGCTAAAAGATGCAGAGCATTTGTTCCTCTTGCTGAGGCAGTTGATTTTGGCTGACTGCCCGTCAGGCACATTGTTTCTTTCTTGGATGTGGAAGTTCCTTCACATGGAAAAACTTGAGTTATGTTTTCTGTGCCTTAGAGTGTAGCAGATGCTTAAATGAAGGAGTACAATCGTCCATTTCATTTGAAGTTACTTATTAAGAACTTCTTTATAAAGTGAAAAACTCACCAGTCAACAATGTGACTGCATGCAGGAGCTTATGATCGTACTCAGGGTCAATGTCCTTTGAGACCTGGAGAGCTGCTGCTGGAGTATATCTTCAGAGAGTTTATTTCCTTAGGTAACCCTGGTAGCCTGGAGATGAGAGCAGTTTATTAGTTAACAGACCATAATTCTCTGCTTCCTTAATTGTGACTAAGCAGGAAGATATTGAAATGTGCTGCAGATCTAATGGCATACAATTACTCTAAAAATATCTGAAGATTGTTCCTTGGAAGAGACTGTGAGTGTTATTCTAAATTAGGCCGTAAAAGCCACCAGAGTGTTTGTGCTTCTCTGCCAGCTACGTAAAAATTATTTTTGCTTCCATGTTGTTCCTCAGTATGTTCATCATTTGACTTAATACCATTTAATCTGTTGGTGCCTGCCTAAAGTTACTTCCACAGCTTCTCTCCAACAGATAGGTTTCATTCTACTTTGAGATACTTGTATCTCTTTTAGGATAGCCTAGCTGTCTGCTTTCTGTTCTGCATTGCAGTCCTAATAATGTTTCTCTTTGATCAATTGGTTCTGTGGGGTTCTTGTGCTGCAGTTCAGTATATATTTCAAGCTAACTGGTACCAAAGTAATGTCATGCTTCTCTCTGCTGTTTGTGCCTTTTGGTCTGGTGCAAAGAACTGGAATGACTGCTAGGTGAGCACAAGGAGGCAGCTCACCCTCTTTAAGAGTAGCTCAGGGAAAAAGTACTGAAATGAATGGGAAGTCTAATGCCAATAATTAAAGATTCAGGTGTGTGTATGTGTGTGTGTGCTCATTGTAGTGGTGCTTCAAGTGAACCCTTGGGGGTGATGAGGTTACTGGTGAATTGAGTGCTAGTTACAGGCCTGGCAAACACCTGAAAAAGAGGCTTTTAATTTGTTGAATCACATCTAGATTAGATGAGTAAAGTAGTAGGCACTGTAAATCATATTATGGCAGGACAAGGGCAAATGGTTTGAAGTTGAGGGAGGGAAGATTTAGGTTGGATACCAGGGGAAGTTCTTTACAGAGAGAGTGGTGAGGTGCTGAACTGGCTGCCCAGAGAGGTTGTGGATGCCCCGTGCCTGGAGGTGTTCAAGGCCAGTTTGGATGGGGCCCTGGGCAGCCTAGTGTAGTATTAAGTGTGGAGGTTGGTGGCCCTGCATGTGGCAGGGGGGTTGAAGATTCATGATCCTTGAGG